ATTCAATATTTTATGGCTTTTGTCTCAAATTCAGTTAAGTTGGTTTATGTTGTTTGATGTGAAATTTAAGTTTGTTTTCTTTAATTATTGTGTTCATGTTAATTTTTCATGACTGATTAATGTAATAAATGTAATAATGTAATAATCATCTGTATTTCACATTGTGTATGAATTTACACAGAATCTGAAAATATATCACAAAGGAAATGGTGTCACCGACAATAAAGGTCTTAAACTAAATATTCACCGACTAAATATAGATGTTGCCGCTCTTAGCGAAACCCGCTTTGCGGATGAAGGTAGTCTCACTAAGGAGCATTACACTTTCTTTTGGAAGGGTCACCCGGCAACACAAAGGAGAATTCATGGCGTAGGTATTACAATCAAAAATGAAATCGCCACCAAATTAACAGAGGTACCTATTGGTGTCTCCGACCGTCTTACGACCCTAAGGTACCCCATATCAGACAAAACTTACGTTAACATCATAAGTGCCTACGCTCCTACCCTAGACGATAAAATTGAGGATATGGATAAATTTTACCAAGCTCTGCAAAATATACTCCAACAAATTCCAAACCACGAACAAATCATTTTGTTAGGTGACTTTAATGCCCGTATCGGCAAACAACAAGAAATATGGCCTGACGTATTGGGAAAACATGGAATGGGAAACGTAAATAACAATGGTGAACGCTTATTAACAACATGCTAATACGTGGTTCATGCTGAAGGACAAGTTTAAAGGTACCTGAAAACATCCGAGATCAGGACATTGGCACCAATTGGACCACGTAATCGTTCGAAGGACGCACCTAAAAGATGTCAGTCTCACAAAAGCCAGAGTAGATGCTGAATGTGGCACTGACCGCCGACTTTTAATCTCAAAAATGAAAATCCAGTTAAAACCCAAACATCCATACTGTAAAAAGCAAAGCTACATGACCAGATTGAACGTACGGGGTCTAGAGAACAACAATACCGCCGACGCCCTCCCGGAAGCCATCAAAGAATCACTTCCACCGATAACAATCTCAATCGTGGATGCTAAACATGGCTGGACACAACTAAGTGATGCGATTCACAAAACCAGCGAAGCAGTAGTGGGAAAATCCAACAAAAAGAAACAACCAGACTGGTTTAACGAAAATCAACCGCATATACTGGCTTTGTTAGTAAAGAATAACTGGTGGTCGCAAAAAGCTAGTCAGATTCAGGATTATGCTACGCATCACGACTATCGTTCTTCGAGGCTGTAAAAGTATATTGTCCAACTAAGAAGGCAAGATGCCCGATCATGGCACAAAATGGCGAACTTCTAAAAGAGAAAGAGCAAACCAGAAACCGCTGGAAAGAGCATTACAGCCATATCCTTAACCAAGAAAACAACCCCAACATAGAAGCACTCAACATAATACCTCAGTATAACAGCCTCGATGTATTAGACATTCCAATAACAGAACAGGAAAAAAAGGACTCCATAAAACAGCTTAAAAACAACAAATCAGCTGTAAAACAAGTATCAGACCGAGTATGGTTCCATAACAATGATAAGTGCCTTAAGGTTTTGTTTGAATCTTGTAAAATTTGATATTTCTTTTATATTATTTGATAGTTTATTAAATAACCTGAGACACATATAATATGGATTCCTATCAGTCAGAGTCAATCTGTGTGCTGGGTAATTTACATTTAGGGTTCTGGTCTTATACCCATGAGACATCTGTAAATCAAATGAATTCCTATATTTCCTATAAATATAAACCCCATGCACCGTCATCAAACCCTCACTCTTGAAAAGTCCTTGGCAACTATCTCTACACTTCATATTTTTCATTGTCCTCAGCAGTCGCTTTTGAACAACAAATATCTTCTGTATGTCTCTATTTCCACCCCAAAAAATGATTCCATACCTCAACACTGATAAGAAATTTGCATAATATAATAATGTTATTTTTTTCATGACTGATTACTTAATAATTTGATATTATTTCCATTAAAAATCTCAATTAGTTATCCATTTTACTTTGAGAAATCATCTCCTGCTTTCTGATTGATGAACTACACCACTATTGAACAAAAATTAGTCAGTACCGAAAGTACAGAAAAAAAAACGGGAAATCCCGGTTCCTAAGAGATGCAATACCCAAATTTCCGGTTCTGAAAAACAGCTCCGGTTCCGGCAACCCTATTGTTCGTAGTCGTTAGTTTGATTCCAGAAATACTTAGTTGTTCTACGTCCAAGGAATACTAGAACTTCCTGTATATTTTGTATGTTTTGGTGGAGTTGGAAAATATTTATACTAACATATATGTAGGTGTGGGAGTAGTTGGGGAGACATCCAAAATCTTATTCAAATCGGAGTAACGGTTATGAAAATATCTTAAAAAATGTGTTTATTTTTTAAAATTTGATGCCCTCTAACGGATAAACAAAGCAGTTTTGTATAGTGGTAAATTGTGCCTAATGAACTTATTTCGTTTTCAATTTTCAAATCAATGATGATGATCACCCTGTATATTAATCTTCCATTTTTTCCCTATTTCATTACTACAAAATACTCCATTCAGACAGCCAATTGTCATTCTAGCTCGTGTTATTCGTTTTTTTATTTCTTTGTCTTCTTTAACTATTGTTTCAAGTATCAGTATTTCTGCATTTTCTAGGTGTACCGTGTGTCCCATTTTGGTTGAAATCACAGGGTATCTCCGTTATTAGTGAAGATAGAAGGGTGCGGTTTGCACAAACCTGTCCCACTTTCTCGTCAAACGGAAGATGCTGCAAACAAAATTTTCATAGCCCTCTTCATTTCTGAGCTACAGGGTCTTTTCAAATATTTTGCAATTTGGGACACCCCCTATATCTCTGTTATTGTTAAAGGTACCGAGAAGGCGAAAACTGCTTATTGCAGAACTTTTTACGTAGAATACAGTGGCGTAGTCTATTTTTCTACCAAAAAAATATTTTTGAAAATATGAACTAAAGTTATGTTTTTTCAAATAGAACACTCTGTATATTTTATATTATATATCACTCTATATTTATTTTCACTATTTACTGCAATATTTAAAATATATAATTTTCCTATTAGTAGGCCGTGATAAATAACAAAAAATCAAAATGGTATTTACTAAAATAGTCATACAAATATTAAAATTTATTTGGGATTGATATATTTTACTTTTGAAATAACTGCTACCACTGAAACTGTGAATATATTTTTCTTTTTTATGGAGAAATGGGTTTGCAAATATCTAAATATTGAATTATTAATGCATTTTTCAGGTGTTCGACATTGTTGTAGTGCCCACGATATATTTCGTATTTCAAAAATCCCCAAAATCAGAAATCGAGAACGGCGAAATCCGGGAATCGGGGAGGCTATCAATATGCGTTCATTGGTTCCAATTCATTGATTTGAAAAATAATAATTTAACAGTATTCTAATATTTCCACAGTTATGAGGGAGAATGTTCCCCATCTTGCTGAAAGTATATTTCACGTAAATTAGCTAAAGGAATATCTAAAATTTTCGATACGATAGATTATTCTTACGTATACACGTATTCCAAGATTTACAAATAGCGGTAGAGAGTTAAGTTTCCTAATATATAAAGGAATTTATTAGCGGCTCCCAAATAAAAACAAAGAGACAGATAGGCAGTATACTTTTAATAATTCTTTAGTTTCTTTTATTATCAATCATGACCTACTAATAAATATGGTCTTTAATAAAACTTTTTAAATATTGCAGTAAATAGTGAAAATAAATATAGAGAGTGATATATATTTTGAGAAGCTTATGGCAAGACAGATCCATATGATTTATAAATATACCAGGGTGTTCCATTTAGAAAAACATAACTTTAGTTCATATTTTCAAAAATATTTTTTTGGTAGAAAAACAGACTACGCCACTGTATTCTACGTAAAAAGTTCTACAATAAACAGTTTTCATCTTCTCGATAGCTTTAACAATAACAGAGATACAGGAGGTGTCCCAAATTGCAAAATTTTCAAAAAGACCCTGTAGCTCGGAAACGAAGGGGGCTATGAAAATTTTATTTATGGCATCTTCCGTTTGACAAAAAAGTGAGACAGGTTTGTGCAAACCGCACCCTTCTATCTTCACTTATAACGGAGATACCGTATGATTTCAACCAAAATGGGACACCCTGTACACTAGATAATTCTGCACCAATAGGTAGATATTTAGTTTTCAGTGTGTTCATTTCCAAACCCTATTGTTGTTATTCACCTTGTAATTTTCTTGTCTCTAAATCATCTGAGTGAAAATGTTAAGCCGTGGTTATGTAAGTATTCCTTTTTCATATTGGAAACACTATCGTGTAAAAAATTAGAATTAGAAACATTAATATTGAAAAATAGTAATTTTTTACATTGAAAAATTTGTCGATTTCACAATTAAAGTCAAAGCTTGTAAATTTTCAAGAAGATATGAGAAATCGATAAAAAATTGACATCGACAGAATTTGATAAAATTATTCGACAGATAATTTGTTTTAGATGGATACATACCAATAACTAATCCTGAAATCTTGTAATAGAGTGTTAAAAACTATTTTAATCATTGGTGAATCTTTCTTGATAAAAGACCAAAAAATGTTAAAAAACAAAACTACGTCTTTTATATTTAGTTCTAAATAGCTTTTCTGATAACCAAAGACACGGTAATTAGTAAGAAAAATTTCAAAATAAGAAACGCGATATTGGACCACACCTAACCGGCCATATCCGATTCCCATCTCCTCTCGTGTACTTAGATACTTTTTTCATGAAATGACTAACTAGTACCTGTCACTTTTCCACACTTATTTATCGCTTTTCGATATTAAACGACAAGCTAGCCACCATTAAGCAATAAAATTTAATATCAGGTTTTTATGCCCAGTATGGTGTTACTAAAATGATACATTAGCTGGACGCGTCATTAAGCAATGACGGCTAAATTGCCGCTACTTTTAATCTGCGCGCCATAATGAATGATGCGCACTTATTAAGTGTCGATGAGTTAAAGGCCATTTTTCCAAAACGGTAAGTAAATGCTAATGATACGGCTATCGGTGAGCTTTAAGTGGGTTCGCATTGGCTTGAGAGGTATACGTTATACGTATACAGCATGTCAGAATAAATTTGAAGTTAACTTGACGTTAAACGAACGAAATGATAAAAAGTTAATTTTTTCCAAAAAGAATATTCCTGTCATTTTATAAGCAAGTGGGATTTACGATATGAATCTTTATTACTAAAGAATAGCTCTCTAAAGTAATAAATTTAACACTGTTAAATTTATCACTTTAGGCGGTGTTTTTCTTCTGTAAATAATATCATACTACACTTTACTATTGTCATTCTCTAGATAGTACATTTGTATTTTATTTGTTCTTTGTTCAGTATACAGAGTGTAGACCGTATCTTGTACATTTAAAGGGCATTTGAAGTGTGTAACTATATGGTTAATAATTGTTTTAATGCACTCCATTGAATTATCAAAACTTTCTTTACATCTCATGATTTCGCTAATACTGTAATCGTAACCTTTAATAATATTTTGAAAACCATTTACAGCTTCGAACTAAATGCACCTTTCATACGTAAAAAAACAGCTTTTTATCTCATATTATGTGTTCAAATTGCTGTATCAATTAAGATAAAAAGTCTTGTGAGAAACTACTCTCTACCTCAATAGAAGGTATGGTAAATGCCCAGTTACCGTCACTGTCCTAATTCTCGTCATATTCCCATATTTTTAAAAAATTAAGAAACAGCGAAAAATTTCCATAATAAATAATTTTAAATAGCTGTTTTATATATCTGGAAACGTTGCAATACATCTTTTTTTAAATGGCGCACTCCATTTACGTGTAATAACGACTATTTTAGTTGGACGAAGTTAGACGTTCACGAGAATCCCGAGAATTAACTAAACGAGAATCCACGCATCGGTATCCTTTTCGGTATCTTTGTGACCTGAATACCCTGGTACCCAGGCCAAAGTAACATTGCTACGCTCACCAAAAGTATTTAGAGCAATCACACAATCCCACATTAGTTTAGAATTGACCTCCGAGTACATCTGTGAAGATGGCCACCGAACGATGTGTTCTTTGCTGCCTTATTATTTCTTGTACACAATAGTTGATTGCCGTTAATTCCGTTTCAAAACAAGTGATAATTAAATACTGCTTATTTAATGTAGTACTTGTAAATGCATTGAATAAAAATATTGACTTAGTGCCTTTTTGCAGTCAACCGTCAATGTATGGCTAATTTATGTCTTATTTGCCAACCGTTTCAAAGAGTTACAAGTTCATCTTTCAAGATCTTAAAAATAAAAGCATTTAAATTTTAAAGACGGCATACGGTAATTTAAGGATGGTTTAATTATTCGTGTCAATATAATAAAATTTGAAAACACAAAACAATAACCATACCTTGCAA